AAAGATTTAGGCTGCAGAAACCCCTGTAGGGAGTCACGCTGGGGGAACTAAAGAGACCAGGGCCCTCAGTACTATGTTCCTTACCACGGACTGAACCCAAGGCCTAAAGACCTACTACCATCTGTGCTCATGGCCCAGAACTCAAAACTGTAGCCTCAGAACCCCAAGCCCCACAGCCCACTCTCCAGCGGGCCTCTGAGAAACACACCTGTGGAGAGGTCACAATGTCTATGTCCTTTCTCTTCAACATGCGTCTTACAGTTGACATTGGTCTGTCTCTTCCTGTCTGCCTTAAGGTGGAGGTGTTGCCTGGGCAACAGTGATGCTACCTGCCAGGTGCTTCTATTCCACTGACGTCACCGGAATGGGCCATGTGGATGKAGGGGAGATGTACTCCCTACAGGAAAACATCAGAGATCCCAAACTGTTCAAGAGGACCCTAGAGGCCTTTTGAGTACTCTCAAATGACCCTCTTCCTCTCCAGAGGACCCCCCATCCCTCTCCCCTTCCCGATGCCTAAGATAGGCCATGCTTCAAATATGACTCCTCCTCCAGAGTCCCCTGAAAAGTGAGGGCAAGAAGCTTTGTCCTTGTCTCTGAAAAAGTCAATTGAGTGGGACACTGAGGATCTCCTTCTGCCCCTCTGGGACTGTCTAGACCTTTTGGCTTTGCCCCTCATTCAGACCTCAGAGGATGAAGCAGCACCCTGACAAGGGCGCCCAGCCCAGCAGAGATGCATCTCCTGGACGACCATTAAGCACTGAAGAGCTCAGCCTGCAGGCCGCAGGCCGGCGGGGCAAGGCTTAGCACTTCCTATGCACCACCCAACTCAACCCTCTGATGGTCCTGACAGTTCATCCCCATTTCGCTAATGGTGAAAATGAGGCTTGGAACGGTCAAGGCACCTGCCCAGCTTCTAACAACACCTAATTTYCAAGCAGTGGAGCCAGAACTTAACCCAAATCTGCCCATCCCAAAGCCCATATGGTCACCTCCTGGGGCAGCTGGAGAAGGGACTCACTAAAGATGAGTTCTGAGGGGGCCGACAGAGACTAGAGGGACCCTTYAAACTCCAAGAGGCCAGCTAGGCAGGACAGGTGGCTTGAGCAGACACTGCAAAGAACTGCTTCATCCCTAGGCTCACACAAGGATGACAATAAGCTGGTCTTGATTTTACTACTCCCTGGGGTCTCGGTGCTAATTAGGGACACTGTTTCTTAGCTCTGTGCTTGGCTTCTTCTTCACCCCCTCCCCCACAGTTCACCTGATTACCCTCTTGATTTGCATATAGCATTTATTCCTGCAGCCTGGTTCTACAGCCCTGGATTTTACAGTAGTTATTTACCATATGCAAATGTAAATCTATGCAGCTGAGAGATAATGCTTACAAAGCACTAAACAAATAAGCAAATATAACAAAAAGCGCTACATTATGCAAGAGTAAAGGGAGAAAACCTACCAGGTAAACACTGCCTTGGAGGCACTAACCAAGGAGGAAAGCACAGCCAGGGGGATCATTGGCAAGAGGGCCACAGAGGTGGACAGAGTTCTGGACCACTGGCTATCAATGCCCCACCCCTGCCTGGCTGTGACTCCAGCTTTGCAAAGCAAGTTTCCCATGTGGCTTCCCCAGGATGCAGGAACGGACAAGATGATATTCAATCTGTGTGGTGTTCACAAAGTCTCCTTGCAAATTAATAAACTAGCATTCTGACTTTTACACCCGCTTTCTCAGGGTGATTCAGTAGCCTGAGTGCAAACCACTCTGAAAATTATATAAATACGATTTGTAAGTGGGTGTAGCTAAGAGCCAGCCCCTGGGACAGGTGAATTCTGGCTCCAGCCRGCCTTCCCAAGACACTACTTGACTTCCTCAGTGGCCAGAAACCTCTTTAWGTGCCCACGGACAGCACGATTTACAGTGCTCAGTTCTAGCTCACTAAGTGCTGAGGTGAACAGTGGGGAAAGCAAGTGATTATCTACTTGGAGGTGGGGGAAGAGGAGTTTAGAAGGTCAGGACAGCATATTCGGTCACCCTCACCTGCTTCCACCCCAGGAAGACTCCRCGTCCTGCACACAGCTTCACCTTTTCCCTCTGCACCACACCCAGGTGACAATTACACATCATCCTTGTACCAGGCCCCAAACTGGATCTGCCACCTCACCTCGCCCAGTAATGAAGACGGAAAGCCATCTGATGCTTGGGCTAGGCTCCCCCKGTCAGCCACGAGGCCAGGCTCCAGGCTCGTGTCTCTCCTCCTATCATCAGGAGCTTCCCATCCTTCCACTGCCCCGGGGTAAAAGGCAGCTGCTCTTTCCTCCTTCACATAAGGGAGCTTTAAGTTCCCATAACTGGCTTTAAGTTTAACCTGCTTCTCTGAATGCTCAGCAACTGCACCTCAGCTTCCAGGCTCTTGAGCACTTGGCTTCCCTCAGTTTCTTTATCTGTAAAGTGGGGCTAAGAAGACCTCATAGGACAACTGTGAGGATTAAATGATACAGGCAGAGTGCTTTTGAGAAACCAATAAATAAATAAATAGATAAAACATCGTTCTGGAAATGTTAGGTCAAGGTCCTGCACCCTCAATAATTGGTTATCAGGGCTGYTGTAAATGTTTGTACAGATAGTGCACTGCCCAAGGACACACCGCCAGGGTAACCCAAGGATAAGTCCCAACTCCATGGCTCCGAGGTCCTTATTTCTAAATGTCACCCTCTTGCTGAGAGGAGAAACTTATTCTAAATTACACAGGGGACGGGAAAAACTAGCAGCAGTCCTCGAGGATATCTCAGCCTCRTGGCTCTACCCTCCTCCCCAACAACCATGAATGAGGAAGGTCCAACATGGATGGATGGTCTTGGCCATAATTCAAGTCCTGCTCCTTTGGAGCACCGGCTCCTCCCTCGTACATGTCTCCATTCAAGCCCCACAGGTTGCTGCGCTGCCTCATTCTTGACTCCAAAGGTAGAACCAGAGTCCTGGACTTGAAGGCCCCTGTGGCCAATGGCCAGAGCATGACCAGCAGAGCTCTGGTTGTGAAAAGTTCCTTCTCATGCTATACTGAGATCTGTCATTGTTTCTTCTAACCAAGAAGTTTCTGAGGCCAGAAATAGCAAGCCATTTTTCTTTCCTCAGGTTTCCATGCTTGGGACATCTGAAGGATACAGCCACGTCCCCCTGTGCTTCTCATTCTGGAGTGCACACCAGTGGTTCTATCTTCTCCCTCACAAGACACACTTTGCAGATTGTTCCTGTCCTCCTCTGGATAGTTCTACTTGGCAGTGGTGTCCCTCCAAGAGGTGGCATTGAGAACTGGGCTAGTGCACCACATTGGCTTGACTCTGCCCCTGTGCAGCCCCATGCATAGGGTGCTCACCCCTGTCTGCCCCTGAGACTGTGCACCCTCTTCATCAAACAGGAGCCCCCAACCATCTTTCTCTTCATTAACCAAAGAAGTAAAAATACAAAACCAGGTTCCTTCCAGAAAATACCTTCTCAGTGGGCAATTTTCTCCCCCAAAGTTCCTGCTCCTTCTTGCCTTCTGATCAAGTTCACCTACACACCCTTTTAGTTTCTCTTCTGGGAGCTGAAAGGCCAGAGAGGTAACGACTTCTGGGAGGACAACATCAGGTTAAAAGTACACATCGTTGCCCCCTGGAAGCCTGAGCTTGAAATTGCTGCATCTTGAAAATTACCCAGCACTTGAAAATAAGCTTCTCCATCCACCCAAGGAGAGCAGGGAGCGGGTAAATTAAAAAAAAAAAAAAAAAACACCCCAAGGTTACCCACAAGTGGAAAATCTGAGGGCAGAATGGCCTGGAGCAGCAGCAACACACAAGGAATTAGCAAACAATGAGAGCCACTTAGGCACATCAGGCTGGAGGGAGTACCCAACACAGCCACTATGTTATTAACTAGAACGTGAATGACATCAACCCAACCAGTGTCTGCCTGCCACCCCATTTTTCCTGCTAACCTGGACCTGTCACTGCATCAGCCCTGGACTCTAGCTGGCAGCCTCTGTGAGGTAGAACTGGTTTGTAAAAGGAAAGAGCCCTGGTCAGAGGAACAACAAAACAAAAGCGAGCCCTGGATTGATTTAGATGCTACCAGTACCTGGTCCTCGTCTAGCCTGGAAGGGAGGGAAGATTCTCACGGCAGGCAGAGGGGCCGAAGGCACAGTGAGGTTCTGGCCTGGGTCGATTGTTTTCCTTTCTTGCTCGGCAGCATTTTTGTTTTTAAAGAAGAGCATTTCGGATGGGGCGTCTGGTCTGAGGCTTTCGAACCCGCTCACCGTGCATCCACCGGGCGGAGACACCCGCTCACCGTGCATCCACCGGGTGGAGGATGGAGTCACAGGAGGCAGACGCTATTTATAGAGTCAAGAGAAAGTTCCCTCAGCAAGGGGTCTACTCCGCCAAAAGTCTTGAAAGAGGAAGTGGCGGGGGCTTCATCCGGCCCGAAGCAACCTGATTGCGCAAATACTATAACCAAGAAGAAACCAACTTCACTTCTAACTCCTTTCTCCCTGGAAGAGAGGGACGGCCAAGGAGCWGGGCGACCCAGCTTTTTTTCGTGCCGCAGCACCTTGCTCAGCCAAAGTAACGGATGGTCCCCGCACTAGGAACCTACACGTGGTCCCGCGTGGGGCTCCGAGGMTCGGCGCGCCGGGAAGAGCGGCTGCAGGCCGCGCCGGCTGCAGCAAGCGCCCAGCGGTGGGGTTGGGAGCCGAGGGACCGCGCGCATCTCCAGCGCTGCGGGAACTGGAGGTGTGACCGCAAGAGACCACGGCGCCTGCCCGTGCGCGCGCACTTTCAGCGGTCCCCAAACTCGGCCCCTAGTTGGGGTGGGCGCAGGCGAGTCTGGAGCGCTCCCCGCTCACYCCCGCTCCTGACTCGGGCGCCGCTCGGCGGAGTCCTGGGTCCCCATCCCTCCCTTTTTGTAACTCGCGAGGCGCCTGGGAAGCAGCGGAGCCTGGAGCTGCGGGTCCCCGACTTACGTTTGGCCTTGGGAGCGCTGTCCCGCGGGAGGCCCGCGACAACCCGGGTTTGGCGCGCAGCTCCGAGGGGGGCGTCGGGCTGTGCGGGCGGCTGCSGGAGCGCGCGGCCGTGCAGCTAGGGGGACGCTGGCGGCGGGACCGCGGCCGGCTCCAGCCTCCTAGCTCCAACGGCCGGGCTCCGCAAGGCTGTGGAGTTACTCATTTCCTGGATGTCACGGAAACTTTTCCCTCCTTATAAGAACAAAACACCCGCCTCCACGGGCCACCGCGGAAGCTCCTTAAGGAGGACCGCGCGGATTAGCGGGGCCCCGCCCAGGGTCAGCCGCAGAGATCTGCCTGGCGACCCCCGCAGGAAGGCCAGACGACACAGCAGAACTGGAGAGTGACCTGGCGAGACAGGATGTGGCCCCTGGAGCAAAGTGGGGAGCGAAGACAGGAGGGCGGGGAGGACGCCCTTAAAAGCCGGTTTAGGCCGCAGACTGGAAGAGGTTGTCACTGCAAGTCCACCGAGTGTTTCAGTGGCGCGTTTTACGAGTGGAGTGGCGGAGTTCCAGGGGCCACCTATTTTGTCCCTTTAAGGAAAATAAAGGGACAAAAAGACACAACGCCGGTCTTTTTTCTTTTGCAGCTTGGGTTGGATTAACATAACCAAACGTTATGATGAATGCATTGTTGTCCATCTCCGAAGTAACCCTGCACAAAGGAGGACGAGGACCAAATGCTGTAGGGGGCGCTTTCCTCTCCAAGGCCTGGCTAAGGCTCTGAACTTAGATGCAGTATTTCTAACCCTGTTTTAGAGACCAGAGAACCGAGTCCAGGAGGGAGGTCAGCAGCAACCCCGCTTGTACTTAACAGATTACAAAATCCATAACCTTCTGTCACTTTCTTTTTGTTACCTGCCCAAATCCCACCGCCAGTAGTGGGTTTGAATGAGTGCTTCACTAGCGCCAAATGGTAGTGAGGTTAAATTGGGGAAATGAAAACACTGTCCAGAGGTTATCACCATTGCTACTGGTTCTGGGTCTTAGATCACCTTCTTGCTTTCCTTCTCAGCCCAGCCAAGGAACTTTTAACACCCGCCTGGAATACATTAGGTGGAGTCTGAAAGATAAACAGGCAATGAGAAAAATTTCCAAAAATAGACCCCCTGGCCCTTGGCCCAGGGTACTTTTCATGTTSGAGCTTCTGCTCCTGCAGCCCTTTCCTGACAATAGGGATCTATCTGTGGCAGTTTTGGGGGCGAGTGAAGGGAGGTGGGTACCGGGAAACATTTTTGAAAGAGCTTTGTGTTTCCAAAATGTCTACAAGTTGAATGGTTGGGACACTGGCCCACCCTCCTCCAAACATGGCTGGGGACATTTCCTGGGGGATGGAGGGGGTTCACACAGACCTGAGCCCTATAATCCTTTGGCTAAGAGTTGAGGGTTTTGCTGGAATGTCAAGGTAGTGCTTACATGCTTGAATGCCCTCTGGGATTGCCATCTTGTCTGCAAAATTTGTTTTAGCTATTTCTAACTGGTTGTGTATATTTATAAAAGGAAGATTTATTATGTTTTTCTTTTAAACCCAATGATTTCATCCTCTGTGGCTGATGGTCTCTTTCATGGGCTCCTGTCTACTCACAGAACTTGGTTCACCATACTATCCTTCCACATAAACTGCTTATGAATTGGTCTCTTCTTATCTCCCCAACCTCTTATCTCAGTCCAAGTTCCACCACTAAACTCCTTGCACTTCTTGGAACTTGTGCTTCACAGGATGTGATAAGCCGGTTGCYCGGTGTTTTACCCCTGAGGATGTTCACATGCGCTCTATCTTCTGCCTGCAACCTTTACCCCACCTCTTTCTCCAACCTGTGAGCCCCATGCACAATCATACCGTTTGTGCCTAATTGTGTGTTCAGTTTTCACATCCCCCCGACAGGCTATCACTCCTCCAGGAAGTCTTCTTTGAGTCTCCTGCTGGGTTGGACTTCCCTCTTGGGTAGTTCCTGCATCACATCAATCTTGCTCCTGAAAAGGTTATTAAGAGATAGGAAAAGCTTCCAGGAACCCCGTGAGGAAAGAAGTCAGGGAACCCCTGCTTCAAACACAGTACTGCTGAATAGAATATCAACAATGAAAGAAAAAAGAAAAAGAAACAAAAAAAAAAATGGTGTGGTGGAGGGGGATCTCTAGGTGTGAGGGAACTCAAAGGCATGACATGAATATAAGTCCAAATGGTTAAGGCTGGGATGAGTCCCCAGTCAATGATCGGGAATTAGGATCCATTCAAGCCTTAAATTAGAAAGWTAGGGATCTAGATTTGAGCCTTCTRCCCAAAGCTGGGGCTCTGGGAAGGCTGGCTTTTAGTAGCAGTGGAATGGAAAAAAAAAAAAATCTTCCGCTATTGGCCTAGGATCAGCAAGGAAGTTTGTGGTTTATCTGGGGCCTGACTTAATTAAAGAATGTCTGCTATAAAAATCAGAACCCCKAGTGGGCCTGCACCACGGGTAGGTCTGAAGTCCCAATTTATATTCCTCATGTGGTGAGGGAATCTGGAAGTTAGGGAAGAAGAGGAAAGCTGCTTCCAAATGGAGAATCCTCCKGGCCTGTCAGAGGGAAATGTAAAACTCGGTTGTTTATTTATTTATTTATTTTCCCAAAGAAATAACTCCCATTGAAGACAAGCTTATCCTGAGAAATGATAAACCAAACTAGGAAATGAATCACACCAGGGAGTAGATACGTATACGTCATGAACAGGAGAATTAGCCCCTTAAGTTCTTGAGATRATAGAGCAATTTGAAAAAGTCTATAAAATAGTAATGGTCAAGATGCAAAGATAAGATGATAGAACATAGAACTATGAAAAAAAGATAAATTTGAAAAAGTAGAAATATAATATGTAGAAATTAAAAATTTAGTCATTTACATTTAAAACATTTTAGTGGCTGAGATTCTTATAGTAATAAGGTGTAAGTCAAAACATTCAAAAACTCATTAAAAGGGGAAAGGAAGAAAAGTAATAATTTCATTTTATGAGTTCTGTGTCAAATCTGAAATAATTTGTAAAATATTAGCAAACAGAAACAGCAGCACATGAAAAGAATATGACAACATAAATAAATCACAAGGGAAAAATTGAAAGAACATCACCATAGATGCTGAAAATCATTAGATACAATTCAGTATCCAGATACAAAAGCTCCTGTAACATGATATGTACAAGGGTGAAGTTCAGTCCCCAAATTTATATCATACTTACTGCAGAATACTAGAAACCTTCATGTTAAAGTCAGTGCAAAATAAGAATAACCTCATGGGCTGGGGATGTGGCTCAAGCAGTGGCGCTCGCCTGGCATGCATGCGGCCCGGGTTCCATCCTCGGTGCCGCGTACAAACAGGGGTGTTGTGACTGCAGAAAACTAAAAAATAAATATTAAAAAATTCTCTCTCTCTTAAAAATATTTTTTTTTAAAAAAGAATAACCTCGTTTAAAAAATCCTCATTAATTTATTTTTATTTTTTAATTTATTTTTTTAAAAACTTTATTAATTAGGAATATTTTTGGCTGCAAGTAACAGAATACACAACAGTAATTTTATAAGTATGTAAGATTTTAGGCTTAAACACAGAAGAGCTTATTTTTCTCAAATATAAAGCATGTGTACAGGTGGCTGTTTCTGTTCAATGTCATGATTTTTTCAGGACTGGTCAAATATTATGTGCATCTACTGTTTTCATAGTTTTTGCAAAATTGCCTTTCAAAGTGGTTATACCAATTTAAACCCTTGTCAATAAAGTATGAGATTGCCTGTTTCCTCACATTCTTGCCTGTCTTGGGTATTTACTAATTAGTTTGCTTCTTTTTGGGGTAGGAAAAAAAAAGATGTCTCGATTTGCATTTCTTTAATTATGAATGAGGCAGAACAGAACATTATTATTGGACATGTTTATGTCTTTATTTGTGAACAATCAGTCACAGGTTTGCCAGTTTGTGTTGGTGTGTGTGTGTAAGAAAATGGAATTGTTTTCGTGAGCAGAGGGTCAGCATTACAAGAAGTTTCAAATTTCACTGTGGAAGGTGGCAAGCCCAGGACCCACTGCAGGATAGCTTCAGACATTCCACAGTCAGGAACACAGGGGAAAAATTTTTTTACATTGAATCCATGGGGATTTCCCATTCTCCCCCATCTGTGGTTATCCCAGAATATGGAACAGAATGCAAGACGATGGGAGGGACAGGAAGCCATGGCTAGTCATCAGGAGTCTGATGGAGGGGTAAAAGGGCACTTTTCCTTGATTTGGTCAATCTCTTACCACCCTGAATTCAACTTTGTCTGGAATTTGAAGAGATAACARCTCTAGTTTACAGGATGTTTCTCTGGAAGAGGCTGCTTTGCTGCGACCTCAAAGGTGTCAGTTGAACAAGATGGATGATTTATGTTTGGCTGTTTCTTTCCTCAAGGTCAGTGCTGGCAACACTGCTCCCTTGGGAATGCTGGAGCCTACGGGGCTGTTCTGTTGACTTACTGATGAAGATGAAGCCAGAAAAGTTAGGTCATACACTCAGGGTTACATTGTTGGTTAGTGGCAGAATAATAATTGATGCTTAAATTATGTGCTAGGTATTATGCTAAGCATTTTGCACATAATAATTCATTTAACTCCTATAATAACCATACACAGTAGGTGTCATTAGATTCCCATTTAACAGATGAAGAAACTGAGGCCCAGAGAAGCTAAATAATTTGTCCAAGTTTACACAGCTAATAAATGGGAGAGCCAGGATTATTATTATTATTTTTTTATGATACTGGGGATTGAACTCAGGGTCACCTACTATTGAGCTACATCTCCAGGCCTTTCTATTTTGAGGCAGGATCTTGCTAAGTTGCAGAGGCTGGCCTCAAACTTGTGATTCTTTTGCCTCAGCCTCCCAAGTAGCTGGAATTACAGGCGTGAACCATCTTGCCCAGCTCCAAGAGCCAAGATTTGAACCAGGCATGGGCTCCAGAATCTTGCTATACTGTATCTTTTTCCTTTACATGTCAGTGCATTAAAACTGAAAGATTCCTTCAGAACAATCCTTATGTACACTACATGTGACACAATCTATTATGTTCATTTATTTTATTAATTTTTTTTTGCAGTATTGGATATTGAACCTGGGGTTTCATATAAGCTGGGCAAGAACTCTACCAC